GAGAGAGAGAGAGAGAGAGAGAGAGTCGTTGTGCTTGTGTATTCTCCAACGGCTTCAACCGACGGAACTGATACGAAGATAGCAGCTCCCGATGCCGAGACCGGTAAGACGTCTGTGTTCTTCATCGCACTGGGATTGAGCATTCCGTCCAGTGGTCTCTGTGTACCTTTCTGGCGCTCTCTTCCTCCGTCTGTCCTCTCCTCCTCTCCTCTTTTCTCTCATTGTCTCCTCCTCTCTCCCCTCTCTCCTTCCGTGCTGTCATCCACTCTTTCATCTCGGCTTCTCTCCTTCCGTGCTGTGGTTCACTCGCTGCTTCTTTTTTGAAGGTTTTTTCGTTAACCCCCCTCCTCTTCCGTTATTCTCAAGCAAAGAGGCGTTTGCTGCTGTTATGTTTGCGCAACCGTGTGCCGCCCTAATAGGACAAGGAAGTTGAAACAGGGAAATCGACGAGCAACGAGCTCATTGATCGCTCGGGGAGCAGAGGATGGGCGGTCAACAGCCAGTACGTGGTCACGTCAGATTGTCCTATCTTAGCGCAGCTTCTGGGTTGCCTTCTGTTGCTTGTGTTGCACAGTCCTGGGCTTTTCTGGCTCCTCAGCAGTCCCTGGTCTAGTCAGGTTCGTTGCAGGTCTGGTCAGGTTCGTTGCAGGTCTGGTGAGGTTCGTTGCAGGTCTGGTGAGGTTCGTTGCAGGTCTGGTTTAGGCTCGTTGCAGGGGGTCTGGTCAGGTCCATTGTAGGTCTTGTCAGGTCTGGTGCTGGCATAAGGGCGTATACGGGGTAGTTTGTCGGTAGCAGATGATGTCAATCCTCTCGATTTCTGTCTTTACCCCGTCTTCTCTCTCCTTCTCTGTTTCAGGCTGTCTCTCATCCTCAGGGGAGGCAGGTACCTGTCCGCATATTCGTTGATTAATGGGGCGCGCCACTATCCTGGATTAGTGGATGAAGGGCTGATTAACCAGCCCTCTTGTAGCTTTGCAGCTTTGCATCTCTTCACCCCTCGACCCTCGCCGCACGGGGATTGATTGGCCTTAGTGCACGGTACCCCGTGTGTGTGTGTGTGTGTGTGTGTGTGTGTGTGTGTGTGTGTGTGTGTGTGTGTGTGTGAGAGAGAGAGAGGATGGGGACTTCGTGGAGGCGTCTGGGAGAGGAGAAGAATGTATGGTTGGTGCGCCTAGGAGCACACGTAAAATGTCATGTGGATGACTAGGAGGTCCGTACGGGAGAAGGAAGCGGGAGGTAGGCATCTGGTGTATCGATGGGCACTCTTTCACAATGCTGTCTGAAAGAGCATGTCTTTGTGGTCGTGATGTCTGCACATCTGCACACGATACCGATTGCATCTGCAGTGCAGGGGTCAACAAATCCCGTTTCATCACACCTTAAGTGAAGTTGAACTCTCACCGCGGGCACTTTCGGACGTGAGAGGGGGAGTAAGAGAGCGTGTGTGTGTGTGTGTGTGTGTGTGTGTGTGTGTGTGTGTGTGTGTGTGTGTGAGAGAGAGAGAGAGAGAGAGAGAGAGAGAGAGAGA